TGAAACCCCTCAAATCGTGTGGATCGGACCGATGTGATTTCGCGTATTCGCTCGAAGATTACCGCAATGTGCCAGCTGTTACAAATGTCGATCTCATCTGAATAAGTCTTTTAAATTTCACCGCTCTATCCATACAGGTCTGTTATTTTCATACACTCTATGTGGAAAATGCAACGCAGAATATTTTGCCTGCTCCATAGACCTTTATCTACATCCCCTCCTATTTAATGTTTATTAATTAAACGATGATTACCCCATCGCAAGCGCCGTCGACCTCGACTATGAAACACGAAGGCACACATACTATTAAGCCGGGGTTGTCTGTGTTCTAGTATGAAGTAGGCATTTCGAGTAAACTATTAGTAAATGATTACAAACTGCACAGTAGGGCTTGTAAGCTGGTAGTCTAACAATCAACGGTGGAAAGAAACTGAAGAAAGGGAATCCCGACTCTGTGAACTTGGAAAAACAAGAAGCATTTTAAGCAAAAAAACGAGAAGTATTCATTTTGACTTGCCGATGACAGGAATTGTCGGTTCTGTCTGGCTGCTGAAGAAAAGAACTTTTGTGCAACGACAAGCCCACGTTCGTTTGACGTGCAAAGCCTTGGTGAAGTATGTAGCAGGGACAGTGTTTATGTAGCAAAGTATACGAGGGTTGGAGATGGGTCTACAGTCTAAAGAATAAAAAAATACAATGCGAAAACTTTGCCCCGCACGAACAAATAGGAAATAGCCAATGTAACAGACAGTTTTCCACTACGCCTATTTTGCCATAACTACGAGTGGGTAGGTGGTTCTTATGACCCAACGACTCCAGCCAATAGACGGAAGGCGTCAGGGAACCATGCTTTTGTCGTTCGTTTTTTTCGCAAAGCCAGCGACGAAATAGGACACGATGTTGTAAGTCTTCCTAAGACATCCAGACTACGTCCACCCAGAAGCACAAGAGCTGGCCAACTGTTCCACCACGGATAAAAGCCTCCAGATGCTCAACTCTTACCCAGAACAGGTGGTTCTTGTAACACTTCTAGGATGCTGGCAATCGGTAGACCCGCATTCACTAAATACTATTTCCGGTCTGCAGGTACTGCACGGTGGTTTTACCATTGACATAATGAGTGAAAAGTCGGAAAAGTGCGCACATTTGTTACAGCTGACTACGCTTAACGTCGAGTCCGCAGAGTCATTCCTCAGGCAGATGGCAGAAGTCATTGGTCCTACTCCAGCCTGAAGGATAGGAAGATCAAGCATTTCTCAATGCCTTGTGCTTGCTGTGTCCCCAAAAGAATTTATTCACTATGTAAAGTATGGATGTCCCAAGTAGAGATTGATACACTTTACTTACCACCCTGCTCCTTCGGAAATGAAATGTTGGGAATGTTTGGTGTTCTGACAGAATAAATCATTCCTCTAATTGACAGGCTACAGACGATTCCTAAGAAGAAGTACAGGGGAATCTGACCGTTGAAACGCATATCTTCCTTTAGTTGAGCAAACACAGAGGCGAGACTGTCGCGGCGGAAACGTTGATGTCTCTGTAAACGCTACCTGAGCGTGAATTTAAGTAAGCGCTGAGGTAGATGGGTTCACATGATATGACGATTGACTTATCACGGTTGTGGTGCCATGCCCTGCTCTCCGTGGCCTTCAGCTGCCACTCTCGTCAATTATCATGTTAATGAATATTGGCACAGGAGTGTTTAAGGGGGGTTCGCGACATTGGCTAAAACTGACGAAATTTGCGTAGGCAGACAGGGGGGCTCCGCATGACTGCAGTGTATCCGACGCGGCTGCATCAGAGCACTTTGACTGACCTAGAGACTACATTAGTGAATAAAGTAGAAAGCAAGGGCCGTCCCGTGAGACTCTGTTGCTAGGCCCCGTGCTGATTATGCTAGTGTTTCAATAAAAATACCGATGAATGAGGTCTCCCATCGCCGACATCAGTTCGCGCTCTCACATGCAAAACCTGCCACAGGAGATCAGAGTCCAGCTGAATTTCGTGACCAAAAGGTGATTAGAGAAATACTGGAGCCGCGCTAGAAAATGGACGAATACTTTAGTCTACTGAATAATCGATTGGCTTGATGAAGCACCTAGCCAGTAGGTTGTCCCAGCAACACATTTGCAGGAAACCCAATTACCATAATCGCCAGCATGACTGTGAGTCCTGACCTTGGTATTTGGCCTGAGCACCTTTTCACTGCTGGCCCACCAAATAGCGAATAGACTCATCTGTCATGTGGTGCTATGCATTTTTTCTCAGTGTGAACCCAAATTGAGCTGAGGCTTCCAACTTTACTGGATAAGTTATTTTTTTCGAACTCGTTCGGCAAAACATGACGATCTTGCTCCAATAATTCTTTTTTGTATTTCAGGTCATTGATTAAACTGTCCAACCTGCGATATGCAATATCGGGTTAACTAGGACGTGCAATATCTGAGGCATTATTGGCTGACGGCGTTCAGTTGGCGCTGTCCCCGATATGTGCGCGCCGCAGGGGCAGTTAAGTGGTTCTTCTGCTGTCCTGGCCGTTTTAGTGCAGGTTTTTGGCATGTTAAAAAAGGAATAAGCTTATTTTTGCGCTCTTAGGAAAGAAACTTCCAAGCCAAGAATGCGGAGGTCCACTTAAAGTTATTCAGTATAGGGAAGTTTGTTATTTTATGTACTGCTTGGTAGCCATTAAGTCGTTGAGGAGGACGACCTGATTGGT